GACTAGTTCAATAATATTTCTTACTCGTGAAAATTGGTATTTCCATGAAAGAGACCTTTCTACACCCTCGACAACTTTACGCAATAATTTTGTCGTTAACCCTGAAGCTTGGTATTTCCTCTCTCGAGTCATCCCCCCCCCCCCTTCTCATAACAAATCTCATTTACCACTCCAGAGAAGTTTTCCGGAGTCAGTAACGTTAGTTATCAAATTCATCTCTCTATATCGAAGAGGGAAATATTTGCTCCCATCCACAAGGTCGAAGCTATAAATAAATAATTACTTTTTACGCCCGTTTGATCTCCCTTCTCTTTATGATAGCCAGAAATCTCATAATTATTACTTATTTATTACATGCAACTCGTTATCACAAAAGACTTTACTAACGATAAAACAAAGTGAAATTTTACTTTTTTCACGTTTCAAAGTATCTCGGTTGCTGATAAACATAAGAAAATTTTAAATATAACTACAGTAAAACGATATGACTACTCTATTGTAATTTTGTATAGTCATCGGAGGAGAAATTTTCCGACTTTCTATTTACAGCATCGACTAATATATCCAAGAATATGTGTACATTATGTATTAGATCAAGGAGATTCTCTGTGCGAATTGTCGCTTTGAAGAGAGAGAGAGAAAAAACACTGCCAGCGCAAGTAAAAGTTCTTGCATTTACCTGTTTTTGACTGACTAAAGAGACGTGCGACAACGATCCGGATTTGTTGCTTCGTCCTCGTAAATTATCACAAATTCGTGGAGCGGGAAATCTTCTCAAGGCGATCGATGCTACCGCGAAGAGGAGCAGCGATAATTCCTCCCCACGTTATTTTCTTTTTTCTTTCTTTCTTTTTTCTTTTTTTTTTTTTTTAATTTGCGCGGTTTGCACGAGCGCGAGGTCCAACCGAGGAATGACGGAAATTATAATTGTATAATTTAATTAGAAATTTACATTACAATCATACAATTTCGTTATATAATTCACGTTTCCGATGCAAATAGGCTTTATAACAATTGACTAAAATTTGCATTTGATATAAATTATTGCATTGTTGAGATACAAAATTGCAATTTACTTTTTTTATTTACATTTCACATTTCCATAATGTTCTCATCTAAATTGTTTTTCCGCATTCTACGATTGGACCAGTGACTTTGGACACGAAAGGTATGCAAACTATCGCGTGAGTGAAAGCTGTATAATTATTGAAAGAGAGAGAGAGAGAGAGAGAGAGCGTGCGTATGTATATTTTTTTTTTCGTTGCACGATTGTGGATCATAGGTTACGAGTCGTACGCGCTTGTTTGGCCGGCCTAGGGGAGCTAGCCTAGCTTTCGCGAATATGTGCGAATAGATAGTAGAGCGTTTAGAAAGTCTCAAATGACGGCTCCAATGGCCTCCCTCGGCGATAGGATGTCACGACGACTACGGCAAATGTCGATTAAATAAATTCGCGATTGATGTATTTTAAGTGTACTAATTGAAATGTGTATCGAGGCGAATGGTTTGTATATATACAATTATTATTATTATTATAATCTATTGAAGAACATTGATAATATGTGCAAATGTGCTTGAGAATAAGTGAAAAAATGAGAGAGAGAGAGAGAGAGAGAGAGAGAGAGAGAGAGATTAGATAGTGTCTGATTGTGGCAAAAAGAGCGGCAACACCGAGAACAAATAATAAATACTATAAAACTGTCTTTGTGTACTATATGATAAAGAAATGACACAACCATACCTATAGAAGCATTTTAATCAGTGAGTGAGTGAGTGAGTGAGTGAGAGAGAGAGAGAGAGAGAAGGAAGATATGGTCTGTTTAACACAAGGTGTATATTATAGCCCTGTTTCTCGATTACTTTGCATTTGTACTTCGTTCCGTCTTGGCGGGAAAGTGTTAGGAATATAATCGATAATCGAACGATGAGAATGTTGACCCATATACATCTGCAAATTTCTTTTTTTTTTTTTCCTCCCTAGACTCCTCTCGAAATGACTAAGAATCAATATTTCGGATAATCCTCTTTCTGTCCTCAAGGGGATCCTAAACCAACAGGAATAACTGACAATTGCAGATTGCCAATTTCTCCAAATTGACTTTACAGATCATGAAATCCTTTTATACCAGGATTCGGCACGATTTCCACTTCTCGGCCGATGTTCGACTCGACTCCTCTTTCCGCTACTATTCTCACTTCATCGCCCCGCGCACTGTCCAAATGCATAGGAGCGTATAATACTCGTAGACATGAGATGCACCCGCTTTGGACGCTGTAAACTTCATTCTATCTTTTTTTCCCGTTTATTATATAACTAAGATAGAATAAAGCAACGCGCGTAAGCGGTCAATCTTACACATTTAACACAATGCCGATCGACATTTAGGCGCGGGGTTGGTGAAGGAAAGGCCAGAATTAAAGGTGAAAATCGTCCGAAATGTGCAAGTAAATTCCTCGGAACTGCTACAGATCGTACGTAAAAAAAATGATACCTTCCCCGGAAGCGTGTGACATGCACAAACAATCCTGTGCTTACGAAATTGTGATCGATGGCCTAACAAAAAAGATTTTCCAAAATTAAAGTCTTTTTTGTGTAACAATTACTTTTTTTTCCTCTTTTACAGATTCGAAAATCCTTTTCCAGGATTAAAATATACACATTAATACGTGTCTGTGTGAGAATAGAATTTATTCCGAGAATGACAAAAAATTTCGAAATTGAAACATTTTTTGTCGTTCTTGGCATAAATCCATCTCTAATACAGCTTTAGGATCCCCTTTAAATTCAGCATATTTTAATTTGTTTTTCTACCAACGAAAAAGACATTAATAATTATTACTTGGTTCCTAATAATCTAAATTATTCGTTCTAATTTGTGACGAAATATTTTAGTTATTCAGTTATTGTATGCTAATATTTCAATGTCACTTGCGTAGAAAATCTCTTGCAATCGATACAAAATGTTGCGAATATGCACGGTGTAAATGGGTTAATTTATACACATCTTCGATGCACTGCGGAGTGCATTTTCCTTTCGTTGTATCTCGCACTTGCTAGATTTACGTAAAACACTAACATTATTAAATACATATATTATTAAAAAAATGTAATATATGTATATAAATAAATATATATATATATTTATTTATATACATATATTACATTTTTGTTTAAAAACGATGAAATATCCAATTTTGACAAAGATTGGCAATGCTGTATTCATAGAAGGTTTATTTAATAATATAAACAAAGCAATTTATCATACGTTTACAATAAGTGGAAGCGAGAGCGCGAGACAGCGAAAGAACTCTGCTTGTTAATCTATAATAATTTGCGATATTAATGTAAATGAAAGCTAGCAGCGTTAACGTCGTTTGGAAGAAAGATTGCATTTAGGAAATTTGATCTTTTCGCGTTATCCTGGCTGAAAGTATAATTAAGACGATCAAGGATATTGTTACTCGTTTAAGTTTTACCTGGTGGAATCGGTTAATAGTGATTACAAGTAAAATGCGTTTTGGCGATAGCAAATTCATTATGCATACATGCGAATTTGTTTTAAGAAATAAGTATGTCGCATGCGTCCATATCGTTTAAACGTGTCTCGCAGTTGATCAAATATAGGTAATACATATTTTAATTAAACTCGTTTTACATTCAACACTTGATTCGTACCGAGATATTTTAATATATACGCAGCAAGGTGTCCCGAAAAGAATTATATCTGATAAAAATTTCGAACACGGTCATTCCGAGCTTAAATTTTACTTGGAAAAATCGTGATCTTTTAATTTGTAATTAAAGATCGACAATGCCTATGTCAGGTATTTCGATTTCTAAAATCGAAGACGATATAAAAATAGGAAGAATCCAATTACGATTGATTCTTATAATTTACATTCACGACATATATGACAAATCAATCGTCAAATACATCGTAGTCTTTAATTAGAAAACTTTGTTTTCTTTTATGTAACATTGTGAAATGTAACGCAAATACTGCACTATAAGTCTGATATGTATTATATAAAATAATTCTGAAGTTCTAGTGTCTTTATATAAGATATTACATTTATTTTTATTCTTAGCCAACATTGAGAATTGTACGATCGTTACTTAATCAAACAAAAATAATTTTGTTGAAGAAAAGATATATGTAGATGTAAATTATAAATCATTTACGTACGTTACTTTATTTTTCTTGTCTGCGAAATCTCAATTCAAATATGTGTCAATTTGAACAAGTATAATTAACTAACTAGACTTTCGATTGAATTCTTTATAAAATTTGAAATCTGATGTCACACGCGCAATAGTTGACATGACGTGTGTGTGCGCGTGTGCGTGTGTGTGCGTGCGTGCGTGCGTGCGTGTGAACACATATGTACATATACTTTTTCGGACACCCGGTAATTTGAGACACATCTCGATATGTAGAAAAATGTGCAAGCAGCGGATCAAGAGATAAATTCAATTTCCATTGTTTCGTTTAGCATACATATTCTCAGTTTCTCCATTCGCGTTATGTTCACCGTAGGAGCAAAGTAGGAGCCGAAAGAAAAGCGTTCTTTAGATCGGATGCAACCACGGCAGAGAAGAGCTCGTGAATTATATAATTATACGTACGTACGTTAATATTTTGGAGTAGAATATTTTCGAAGATTGCGAGAGAAAGAGTCACACACTCGCCAACATGAGTGGTTGTCTCGCCCGTTCACGGCTTTCTCTGTCGCCGCCTGTTTGTCGAATCTAGTTGACGATGAAGAAGAGAAGAAACAAAGCATTTTTTTAAATTAAACTGAAACAAACGAAACTTGCTTGTTTTATTGTTAATTTTGATATCCTTTTGATAATCCTTCAATTCTTTTTGATAATCCGATCGAACCTTAAATACAATTGCGTCAATTAAATACATAATTATATTGCAGTAATCTTTATTAGTTCTTTTATAAATTGTATCATTATAACAAAGTAATCAAAATTACAATCATTTACAACATAACTTCCACAAATATTGAATTTTGGAAATGGAGATCACTATATCTGTAGTAATAGAATATTTTTTCTTTCTTAAAGATGATAATTTTTGTTTATGTAGCTAAGAAACCACCGTCGATGGGCAAGCAGGCACCATTGATCATGGAACTTCGGTCGCTTAATAAATATACAACAGGATCAACTACCTCATCAACATCTACAACACCATATTTGGAATCAATTAAAAAAATTGTTTGCTTTTTTTATAACTTACGTTCACAAAATATTGTATAATATTAGATACAGTAGTTCAAATATTTGTAAATTAATGAAAAAATAAAAAGTAAAATAAGTTCTATATGTAATATCATATATAGAACTGCATGTGATAACACAAACTATATAAAAATTAATGCCTTAAGCAAGAGATCCGGGTTCGACTTCCGGCCGAGATAATATTTTTTGCAATAAGAATTAATTATTTACAGATTTTCACATGTCACTCAGCATTAATAAAATCGTTCTAAGATGCGAAAAAATATCAAATTGTTAAATTGCTAGTCAATTGCTCGTGATATTACTGCGATAGTTTAATAGAGTTAGCGTTTTAATGTGTGAACTTATATATTACGTATGTTGTTCTTTGAAATATGCGTGATGAAAATGATTTTTCTTGAAAAGACCTAATTCTATTAAACTACCGCAATAATATCATGAGTTTGATTTCTATAGTTTGTGTTATCACATATATACGGTCCTATAATATATTATATTGTTTTATATTATATATAATTTTATATAATTATTATATTTTATACTTAATTGCAATATATATATATATATATATATATATACACGGTGTCCAGAATTTAAATATCTAAACTTAATTTCGAGAGCGTGTAGAGGATCAATAAACCAAGGAAAAAAGTCCTGTAGAAATATGCTCGTTTTTACTTCATTTTAAAGAAAATCATAAAAAAGATAAAACGTAGTTTTTTATATTTGTACTTTTTTATTACTTATTCAACTACATTTTTTTTGTGATTTTCTCCAAACAAAGCAAAAACGAGCATATCTCTACAGGACTTTTTTTCTTAATTTATTGATCCTCTACACCATAGATTCCCAACATGGACGTTATCATCCCTCGGTGGACGCTGAGGGAGATCTAGGGGGGGGGCGTTGAGGAGTAAGTGAAAAAAGAACAGGCCTGAGAAATTTAATCCCCTAAGTATTTTCTAAACAAACATTTAAACATTCACTATACAAATATTACAAATGACAAACATTAATAATAGACGCAAAAAATGTATAGAACAATTATCTCAAGATTGCAATAATCGATTCGGACAATATTATTACGATTGATTGATACTGGACAATAACGGAATGGAAATTATCAAAAAAACGAAGAGAAAAATAGTTCGGAATTTGTAATTCATTATGTATAATTTAAATTTTATTGTTAACCGGCTTGGCGTTGCGAAGTTCTTTTATTTTTATTTTTAACTTGTTAACACAGGATGACCTAATGAAGATTGAAACGTATGTCTATTGTATATTCTTATCTATGTTTTAAATATTTAATATCAATTTAGCACTTGACATCCAGCTCTCTCGTAGCCTAATACAATTTTAATTTTTAACAAATATTACAGTTATGCATTTTTATAAGAATCAAATATGTCAATCAACCCTCCATACATATTGATTTAAATTGTATGATAGTAAGGTTTGTTTTTTTTTTATTATGTGAAATTGTAAGGTTTGTTTTTTTTTATTATGTGCAATTTTTTTCGGCTGTTTTCTTGTACAGAATGATCGAAGTAATACATCTATGCATGTTTTGTCATTAGATATTCAATAGAGTGCGAACATTCGTTCATGATTTCGTATCGCGCGTGGAGCACCGCTGTGTTAGTAATATTTTTTGTTTGTTTTTGTGTAATTTTCTTTTTATTGCTTTATTTATAAATAGTTTGCCAGTTACCCGATTTACCAATTTATCCGCGAAGGGGGTGCTAAACAAAAAAAAAAAACTTAGAATGGAAGCAATAAACCAAAAAGGATTGAGAAACTACACAATCCCGAAGTTTAGAAATTTAAATTTCGGACATCCTGTATATATATTTTAACATATATGGACATATATTTTTTGCAAATATAGATATATTTTACACTTTATAGGTACATATACCTATTTTGTACATATTCTTGACTAGTAAAATGAAAATAATAAGTAACGCATTCTATTTCATTTTCTTAGCAATATTATTCAAATTTTTTTTTATTCAAATATTTCAAAAAAATATAAGAGTTGATTATAAAGTTTGAAAAATCTTGTCGTGCGACGGCAACAACAAATGTTTCAACGAACATTATAATTCTTAAATTAATGGAAATAATTAACAATCATATAACGTGTAATTGACGTATGTTTCCATATGTGATAGCAGTTTATTACTCAAAAGCCAAAATGTTTTTAATGTCTCTGTAACAACGCTGCAAGATTTGTAAAATCTTGCACCGTAATATGTATTATGCAGGATCCGGCCGAATAATATGTAAAAGCGGGCACGACGTAATTCTTTATGAACAAATAAAAAAAATATATAGAATAAAATTTTTTTATTTTCTGCTTAGTTTTCGAGAAAATCGAGTTTACAAATCCACTGCGTACGTATGTTATTGCGGCTAAGCTAGTTCGTCGAACCTATTATTTTTTCATAAGGAATCACGTCGTGCCCGCTTTTATATATTATTCGGCCGGACTCTGTATATTATAATTCCTAATATCTACAATGCTGCAGCGATATTACAGCGCAATCTGTAATGTTGCAACATTTTTTCAATGATACTGCAAGTTTCTGTGCTGTATGGGATGTCAAATGTCAGCTATCAGTTATCTATATTCTTTTTATTACCGATCGGTTATATATCAGTATGTCAACACGTTGTGTTGATATGAAAATCATATTTAGAATGACAAAACACTTGTGACGCAATGTTACATAATTAAGTATTATTATGCGGAATAATCCCAATTAATGAACGATATGTTTTAATTCGTAGGACGATTACTGTATCCCTGGCAGAAAAACTTTTACGAAAAACTATATAGATTGAGATAGGATTTTAGAAATTATTAGTTTTTCATAGATATTCGTAATGGGACGTAGAGCGATGTTGTTTGTTTGAAAAAACTTAGAAATTTTCCGCTCTCAAACAATGCCACTCTACGTCCCGCTACGAATATCTACAAAAAATTAAGAATTTCTAACACCCGTATTCATAGTCCTTCCTTATTTTAAGGGTGGAGGAAGTCTTCATGAAGGATTCCTCGATTCTTCAAAGCCTCTTTGTTTCATAAACTGATCTCAAGTCTGCCTCCCCGAAGGAAGGAATATTTTAGGGATTTTAATAACCTGAAGGCAGCATGTCATAATATATAATATATACAAACCTAATATTATAAATTAGAAATAATAAAGATTATAAAGGCATTATTGATTAAATAAAATCGCGATTAAACAGTTTGCAACAATAATGGACAAAAATAAAACTAATTGCGAATTCAATTGGACGCATTAAGTGCTCACTGATGCACATTAAAACCGCCATACATACACAAAATAACGTAAATATATGTTTATAAATAAACATAAAAATCGATTAAATCGTGAAATACTTAATACATTTTATTGCACTATTAAGTAAAATATGTATTTCATAATTCAGGATATTTGCATTTTATTTTTATAAAATTAAATCAGTGTACAACGGCTTTAATATGCATCAGTGCTTCCAGTCAAATTCGCCATAATGCTTATTATACGAAAGAGAAAATGCTTTTGGCACAGTTTATTTCCGAAAAAAAAGCTATCAAAAATAACTCGACGCGACAGATCTAAATTAAGAGCTATCGAAAGTAAAAAAAACCGGTGTGACAAAATAAATTTGGAGGTTTGCTTGGTTAAGTGGTGAAAACTGCATCTCTTCCTCAAGGAAACTCGTAACTTCCCTTGAGAAAAGAAAGCTAATAAGGTTTCTTATTTGGGAAAGTTCTTTAGGAAAATTATCAAGGAAAGTTTACGAAACGTGAAGTGAGGAACAAGGAATCCTCATTTCTCAAGGAAGGACTATGAATACGATCTTGTCTAAATCTATGTAGGTTTTTTTTTTCTATACTTTTTCATAAAAATTTTTTTTCCACCAGGGATATTTCAAAATTCGTTCTACAGATTTGTACATTACAGTTACAGATTTAAATTATATGAATATTGCTATTATAGATTACGAATGACAAACGAATTACGAATTACGTATATTAATGCGGAATAGAAGTCGTAGCTGTCATAGGATCTTAAGTTGTAGAAAATTAATCAATCACAGTCAAATATGAGAAGAATAATCGACTATGATTGGTCAATTTTCTACAACTTAAGACCTTACGACCGCTATTATATCGTAGACTCCGTATTATAGAGCGTAATATTTACGAATTATTCACACGGATAAAATTTATTTCATACGTATATTAATTTGATGGAAAAAGTAATGATGAAATTAAATTAAATTCTTTAATTTCTTAAATCTTTTTCGATTAAAATATGTGACGTACCAGCGAATCGACCAAGCGGAATTTTGTTGATCATACTTTGTGCTTTCTGCGGATCGCTCCAACCCAATTTTCCCATTTCCGTCATCACAACTGTAGGACCGACACTATTGATTCTTATATTGTGCGGCCCCACTTCGAGAGCCATTGTCCTGAAAATATCACAAAGTGGGAAACTAACATGTTCCAAAAAAAGACATCTTCGATGAATTTAAAATCAACTTTTTTCGAAAATACTGGATAATCAATACAGAGTTAAATAACAAAAGACTGAAAATAAAAATGCAGAATTGAAAATCCTTAATAGATAAAAATATAAGTAGTACATATATCATCTTATTCTATATTTTATTTCAATAAAGTTTTAATTAAATCTTTTCCAAATTAAAAAAAGTCGACATCAAATTTATGGAAAATTTAATCGAATTCTTTTATATTTTTCTGATCATTTTTTTCAACAGTATGTATTTTTACATTTGCCCATACGTTGATTCATAATAAATTTCCAATTTTTGCTAATTGCCAAACATATTGGTTAAACATCAAGCTTTTATGGATTATGGAGATATTAATAATTATATATCTTACTTCGTCAACATGTCAAGAGCTGCTTTTGACATGCAATAAACGGCGTGGTCCTTCAATGCTGCCTGACCAGCTTGCGACGATATATTTACGATACTGCCACCGCATTTGCGTTCGATCATGTTTTCGACTACAATTTGGGACACATTGAATGCAGCTTTCACGTTGACATCGAAAGTTAAATCAAATTCCTTGGGCGTAGCGTTTAAAAATGGTGTAAGACACGCGACAGCAGCGTTGTTGACCAATAGATCGATTGGCAGGATACTTTGAACAGCCTTTCTAGTTGCATCCCAATCACGAAGATCGACGCAAATAGGTTGAATCTTCGGATCAATTGCCACCAAGCTATCTAAGTTTTCTTTTGTTCTCGAGAGTGCAAACACTTGTCCCTTATATTTAGAGAGACGAAGAGCTATTTCCTTCCCGATTCCTGCATACAATTATGATAAGAAAATAGATACTTTATCACAAAATAAAAAATCTATATATGTATACAGGTTGTCTGATATTGATAAAGTCCCTTTTTGAAACACTGTATAATAAGAGAGCTTTTTGAAACACTGTATAATAAAATATTTTTTCGTTAAGTACTTTTCGAATTATAGGGCTTGAAAGTTACACAGTACAGCCGGAATTAGCATTATCCAAGGTGTCCGACCGACGGCTAAAAATCTCTTGAATGTTGTTCAGACTCATGACCTGGATAATATTTGTTAAGATCAAGGCCATTTGTGATTCTCTTATGTCTTATTTTCATTTTTACGTAAAAAACGAATTTTTAGTGCAAAAATGAAAATAGGAGCAACAACCTCCAATGGCTTCCAATGGCCTCCAAAGGCAAATGTTATCTAATGACCCTAAACAATATTCAAGAGGTTTTTAGCCGTCGGACACCTTGGGTAATACTAATGCCAGCGGTACTGTAACTTTCAATTCTCATAACACGAAAAGTATTTAAAAAAAAAATATTTTACTATAATGTTTTGAAAAACTTTCGAGATAAGCTACAAGAATATGGAATAAAAAATAACATTTAAGAAAACAACGATTACATTGACGTAGCCTCGAGAAGGCCACTCAAGATCAAATCCATATTTTCATCATGTCCCCCTTAATGTCCTACAACTTTGTCTGAAATATTTTTTCATATCTAAAACTGTTTCCGAGATATATGGCCTGAATGGGACTTTATTGGACATCTTATATACATTCGTACTTACAATTATTTAAAAAATCGAAAGCCTTATTTATTTTATTATACATATTAATACTATCAATTCAGTCCAAAAAATATTTATCAAAATTGTACGCAAAAAAATCTTTTAAATTATGTGATATCGATTGATTTTTTTATAATCTCTCTCTCTCTCTCTCTCTCTCTCCCCCTCTCTCTCTCTCTCTTGTAAACAGATAGAATTATTTTAATCTTTGTTAATAAAATACAATGTTTTAAAGTAGATATTATTGCACTTTCTTGCAGTTTCATTATTGCATTATTTTATATAATAGATATATATTCTTGATCTCATTGATTTCAATGCAAAGTCGACTGCAAACTATAGCAATAGCGATAAAATGTATTTAAGAGAAGCACTAATTTTTTTAATTTTAGAAAGTGTCTTATGAGAAAAGTTAGCACAGAAGAATTCAAATTCATAAAATTATATAAATTAATGTGAAAAAAACACATACCTTGACCAGCGCCGGTCACAAGAATGCGTTTTCCTTCAAAGTTAATGTTCATGATTGTCGAGCGACTACTGAGCGAATACTGACATAGTGATGTGTGTAATTTATATCCCCTCTATACGATCTTTGATATGTTGATTTCATCCTTGCTCATTCCAGTGAGCATATGTGAGAATGGAATTTACAAGAGCGTCAATAAGGAGGGAGACAGTTAACGCGACTATTACGATAAAGCACACTTTGATAAAACTTATATCTGCTTTTGCATTAGCCTGAACGTTGTTTTTTGCTTTTATATAGAACATAAAGTTTCTATAACATTGTAAAAACGTTCAAGAGAGTAGACGCAATTCACAGAAAGTAATGAGAAAAAGATAATTTTACGAATTACCCTACAATATTGTTTTTAGACATAATCTAAAGCAGGGTATATAACATTTTGTAGAAATATGATAGCTACTTCCCTATAGGTGGCATAGTATTATTTAATATTAAGTAACATTTGAAGCTTATTCTTAAAATACGTCCATTAAATGTAACATTTGAACAATATTTGACTAAAATTATATGATATTAAACAATACACCTGAAATATTAATGGATGGTTATATGTCCACTCCTGACAATATTATATGATAATTAAAAATAAGTTTGCTGTAATATTCTAGAAAATTAAAAAGTGACATTATTTATATATAATATTATAATGATATTATTTAAATACTTAAAAATAATATTTTTTAATATTACAACGTATTATATTATCGGACATATTTTAATTTAATATTTAAGAGTTTACTGGATACACAATATTTTATAGATGAAGTTCTAAAATTAATGTTACGGACGTTATAAATATTATTTATTAATCAGTATGAAGGATACATTAAAAAATGGAAAAAGTTATCAGTTGATTTTTACTAAATAAAATCTTTTTCTGTAATTTTGTCATCTTTTAATTCATTGAGTTGACAACACTCTTTATAAAATTCTCTTTATAACATTTTCTTTATAAAAGAAACAATGGGTGCTTTCCAAACGGCATTTATAATCTTTAAATAGATAAGTATAAAAGTGGATGTATTTTAGTTTTTCGCGCTCTGTGTCGTGTGAATCGAGTGTTATCATTGAATATTAATGTTAACACGGTTATCATTATAATTCAATTTGATCGCTTGGTGAACTTTTCAGTAGGCTCATTCACAAAGCGTTTTTATACGTAATACTTATCTAAAAATACTTGCCATATTGCGTTCTGTTTTGCTATTTTGTTTTTTGTTTGCATTTGATTTGACTTGGTACAGTAGAAAATGTCTGTGTCACTGACGAATCGTAAATGCTGGGTAAGTTTTTGCATAAAGTACCTGGTGAAAAGAACATAATTAAAAAATGAAGCAATTTATTTTAGTAATGAGCTTTAACGACCAATTGTTGTTCATGTTTTTATATGGAAAATGTCGGATTTTTTAGTTTAAAAAAAGCAAGTTTCATATTGATTCCTCTGTTTCTATCACTATCATTGCTGCTATCGCTATTTCTATCGCTATCGCTGTTACCTTCGCATTGTGTTTAGAGTTTTAGTTTCGTTGCTAACTCTGCATTAGCTCCTTCTATAAAAATTAAAGAATGCGACTGTATTCACGGTTCCATAATGCAATAAAACATCAAATTTATTTTATAGCTTATAATACAAGAGATGCAAATAACATAGACTACTGGGAAGAAGCTATTTTAGATTATTATTGTACCTGCAAGTCAGGCGCAAGGACAGTAGGAACATGTGTACGTAGCCAACGTGTTATGCTATTTTGAGTATACACGTTATCAGCCCAATGTACGTTGCAATCCCTCTTCGTCGTTATTGAACACAATAATAGACGCTGCAGTCTATAATTATTAAAAAGTAATCTTGAAAAAAAAATTCTGTATTAATAAGGCAACTGCCCTTTAGTTGACGAAGAGAACAAGAAATGGAAAATTTTTTCTCCGCAATAGTAGACTGATGAAAGAAATTACAGATCAAAAGACTTTGGAAGAAATTAGACGTGGACCTGGAAATTATGAGATAACTCGCTGGCCAGAAAACGCATGGTGCGGTTTTTGATCGATATAATTTTTGAAATTATTCATGTGTTTACATTGAAATAAACCAACGACTGTAAGAAAAATACACATTTGCTTTTCTAGAAACCGATAAAAAATTATTTTAAAAAATAAACAATGTGGCTTATTTCGAACTTATATATATTATAAATTTAGCCTGCGCGATTTAAAATTAGAGAGATTAAAAATGCTTGTAGAAAAAATGGAACAATTAATGTACGTAGATTATAGAAACATTTTATTATACAAACTTTTATTGTATTAGATTAATGTTTGTTTAAAATATTATTTAGTATTTATATTCTTATGTTAATTATATCAATTTAAAGTCATTCTAATTATAAATTCGAAATAAACTACGACATTATTTAATTTACATAATATACTTAATATACAAGCATTTTTATTCTAAATTATTTTAAAATTGCATACCATGCAATGACGAAAGATCAATATTTTTTTAATGTAAATGTTTTTTAAAAAAATTCGAAAAGTAATATTTTCATAATGATGTTGCGTTTGTCAAATACACTTAAGACATTTACATGGAAATCTTACAACACTTATAACGTTTTAACGTTATCCCAACATTAGCTAATGTTTTTTTATATATAACGTATATATATATAAAAAATGTGTATAGATTTTATGTTCTATGAGCTTTTTGTTCAAAGATAATAACATCCCTGTATGTGTTAGTGATCAACGATATATTTAAAGAATTTTTTTATTTGGTACATTTTTAGGTATGATATATATTCAAATATTTTTTTACAATGTTGTACAATATATGTAAAAGTATAAAAAAAACACTTTTGCGTATTTTATGCAATGTTTTGCGAGCGATGATTTATGTTATTTTCACATATCTATAAAAATCGATATTACATAAAAGTATATTTATATGTTTATTCGCGTAATATCTATACTTAAACAAATATGTCTTCAAAGGAATCTATAAAATTATAGCATCTTTTTCTTCTGTGAAAAGGTATAAGATATATAGGATATTCCTGTATACATATTCCTATACACACTGTGTCCAAATAATGATTGCATCATCTCTGGGCACATAAAGCAGACTGAACTGTGTGAATCGAAAAGTCTTATCAATTTACAATTTTTGCAATAATTAACGAGAAATTAATTCCTAAATCATTTCATTTCCTACATCTTCGAATCCGTTCGAGCTAAATATAAGCGTGGCAAAGTACGATCAACGCAGAGCGGTGTTTTATTTCGCCACTGATGCATTATCTTTGCTGTTTGTATAATAATAAAAAACTGGCGACATTTAAATGGCCATATATTATATGCTAATTGATTATAAACTACAAATTAATAGTACATGGCAATATAATGGCAGTATAGGTATTTTACGTTAAAAAATGTTTCAATTTGTTATATAAAATAGATTATTGGTAGATTTCATCGACTAGATAAATTGCTATTTTTTCTTATCTTATAATTTCCGTTTGATTATAGTTCTTCTTTTTTTTCCAAGTTGTCGATAAAAGTATTATGCACGAGTTTTGAGTCTTCCGTGTCGCTAATGTGTCCATCCTCGCCGGTATAATGCGACGGATAAATTAAAAGTGGATTCGTAGATAAGATAATCAAATCCCGAGTGGGAAATTGAGCCGCCCACTGTTTCCTATTGAAATGTTAAAATGAATATTAAAATTCATCCAAGTCGTTCTTATTAAGGATATATTATATAAAATAAAATCGCAACTTTTACAACGTTCAATCGGATTTTATGAGATTTATCATTAATCTATAATTATAATTTATCTATATACATAATCTATATATATAATTTATATATATATATGTATATATATTTCCTGAGATTATTCTTTCTGGTTCGAATTCAAATATTGATTTTTCCGCGAAACATGTATATACATTTCCTAAAACAGTGAACATCAATCACTTCACATACTCAGGATGCGTATCCGAAAGAATCGGAAGGAATTCATCAACGGGAATTAATTTCTTGAGAGGCATAGCATCGATCAATTTTTTCGCTCCGCTTTCCGACAAGATGTAACCAAGAGTCCAGTAACTATATCCTGCTCGTACCAAAAATTTAGATCCTTCCACTAGATTCTCTGATTTCACCAATTTTTTTCTTCCCATGTATCTAAAATAAAATTATGAAAAAATGTAACGTGTCAATTTTAGATCCGATGTCTCTCAGAGTTAATTTCCCTCAAATAAATTTACTTTTATTGCCATAAAATTCAAAAGAGCGAGAAAATTATTAAATCAATTTTACCGCTGCTATAATTTCAAACTGATACTTAAACAAAGCTTTAATTTTTTTATTTCAATCTTTTTTTCTTCTATTTTTCAATATAACCATTATTTTTGTGCTAGTTTTAAATAAGATAAATTATAGAATCATAGAAAGGATACACAATCAAATTACGAAACAACGCAACAAAATGGTGATTGAAAAATAATAAATTTTGTTAAATATGACTTACATCAAATCCCATTCAAGTCTGAGATTAGACAATTCCGCCAAAATGTAATCGACCTTCTGTCGAAAAAATGGCTCGAAGCGAACATCATCCTCCAACACCATAACGCTTTTATAACCGTGCTCTAATACCTAATATATATAGTCAATAATTAACTTTTTTTAAAAATATTTTTTTCCACTCAAGTGTCTTTTATTACCTTCTTCCATACGATATAATGACTCAGAAAACAGCCAATCTCGCCCATCGTCATTGGTCTACGCGCAAAGGAAGATAAATTATTATAGAGATTTTGAGAATTATACAGAAAAATAGTACAAACAATTTCATACTTAAAGCAAATCTGACAGATCATGTATCATTAACGAACCATTTGGCTGTCTAAAATTTTCATTTTTAAGTTTAAATTTAATCGATTAAATAAAATTTTGTCACGTGTCTATTTTCACCTTTTATGATAAGGATCCGAATATTCGGACATCGGTATCACGCCCCATTTCTTCAGAGAACTCTCGTTCAAAGTCCTGAAATGATAAAAGAGAAATGAAATCAGATTAAATAAACTGGCACAAATTGACGAAAAATACATGATAATGAGAACTTCCTGGAAAAGTTATAAAAATAAGTTCATTAAGACAATCTAAAATATATCATTACTCCATTGTTAAACAATGAAACTTTAACTAGAATAGCTAATATATTGATGCCCACATAACTTATACATATAATGTATATATAAATACAAAATATAATTTAATGTAATATTTGGAAAGCCTTTTTCTTTAAATGTGTGACAATAAATAAATATACATAAAGTAACTTTATGTATATTTATTTATTGAACTTTATTAAAGACTTTATTTAGACGGCTTAAAAATAATGAAAAAAATACAAACTAATAACAGACGTAAGATCGCTAGATCCTATCATATGATTATCAAGCTGATAAGTCCGAAATGTTTTTTTCGCAACGTAGATGTTATAATATGCTCCATTATCAATCACTAAGAATATGTATACAGAAAGTCAACGCTTGTTATAAACGTGTCGTAATTAATTACCAGGAAGTCGACAACTATAAGAACTGTAAAACAATCAATATAGTAATATGAGAATATAAAACTCAAGAAACAATAAGTATAAATTTAATAAAAGTGAAAATAATTTGGATAGCATAATAAGTAAAACTAATAAACATTACCTTAGAATATGTAAAACAAATGACAAAGTCCAAAATTAAAATATAAGCTCAGTCGGAATATAAAAATTAAAATATAAGTTCACAGAGTCGGAATATAAAAATATATGTAATAATATAAAGCAAATTGCGATAGAACGTCTTTATTGTCTGACTAAATGTTATAAAATCACGAAAACGTTGTAATTAATAAGGGAGGAGGGGGGGGGGTAGGAACTAATAGGGAGAGAGTTACTGAGAAAAGGGGGAAGAAAAGAAACTAAGAGAAGGAAGGGGATTGTATAATAGGGAGACTGAATTCAACGGGTATGTACAAAAAATATGTCTCCATTATTTTGGTCTATATACTTTCGTGATATTTCTTGTCAGTTACATTCCCTTATATTTTTATATTCTTAAATGCTTATTTTTAAAAATAGAAAAATGAGGTAAAACTTAAAAATATTTGGGATTAATAACCAGAGAATTATTTTTCTTAAAATAATTATATCTTAAAATGGACAGAATATTGGAGTTAAATTATGCACATATTTACCCGAAATATTGATATATATTGAATTTTTGCGTTTATAAAAGAATTCTTATTTCTTTTTATCTTGTATAATGTATAACTTACCTACCATCCACAGCATCTATAATTTCCGCTCGAATACCGAGTTCTTTGAAAAGTCTTTGCATTCTTCTACGTCTCTCCGGTCTTCTTAATAGATTTATCATGTAAATGTCATCCACACCCAGAGTGTCTTTCTCCGGATATATCACGAATTCTTTTAAATCATCCGACAACGGCAAATAATCGCTAAATGCTGTACAAAAAACGCAATTTATATCAATCAATACTGTTAACAGGATAATATTATATTGTAATATTCCTAATTAAATATTATCACATTGGATATTATATCACATAAATTTATTCTTCTTCATTTACAATTACTTATTTATTTTATTCATTTATATTATGCTTCTTCCCTTACAGAAGCAAGCTTACCTAACATTTCCACCTTAGTATTAGTCAACCGTTGCATATCTTCTGCGATAGTCTCATCATTCTCCAAAGGTACCATAATAAAACCATAAACATCATCGTTACACACGAACAATGACACATCTATAACATAAACATTGGCTGCATTCCAAAATTCTCAGTGCTGAAAATATACAGTATATGTAACATAAACTGCAGATTTTCAGCGCTGGTAGTGAATTTTAAAACACACTATATATGTTGTATGTATGTAAAAAATTTTAATAGTCGAAATTAAATATAATTCCTTATAGAATTAAAAGTTAAGTCAAAATAGTAAGAACAGAATATAGACTAATAATTTTAAAGAATCAGCACTTAATCGATGCACAAATTTCGAACTATTAGTTATAATTCATATTTTAACTTTTAAACACATGACAACTTTAATATATATAGATAACTTTTAATATTTACCTGATTTATTTGCTCCTATGGCAAAAGTTATGATATCATCCACTGGTCCATCATAACCGATCAATTTTTCGGCCTTATAGGTAAGATAATCAGAGGAGCGTCTTCTCAGATCTATAAGTACTGCGCTATGGATCATGGGAACGTTATGGCAATCAATTTTCTCGCGAAATAGGATCGGCTCGTAGAGCTCTGTTCGCAAATAATAATGTTCCGCTGTCATTCCAGCCCAAAAATTACTATACATGCCGTCCGATCTTAATAAAGGCGCAACAACAGTATACCCCTTATGTATCAAATTACGAATAGTGCTTGGATTGATCAAAAAAACGTCAGCATCCAGCATCTGCACACACAAGAAGTTTTCTTTTCTTTCATTTTTGTTCTTTTTTCTCATATAGTCTGTAAATATTCGTACATGTATCAGACAAATGAAAAAGTGACGCGATTAACTCTATAATACATATTGCTACTATAATTTTCTTTTATTATTAGTATTCTTGAAACTTGTCTGAAATTATTCACTGACAAATATTGTCTTACATCCTTGATATAATTATAAACGTTTTTATTATACCATCCATGGTATAATTTAAGATAGAAAATAATTTCTAAATTTAACTCTGATGAAAATAAAACGTAAAGTGTAGAGTGTTAATAAAGCGTTAATTGGAGTGAAAAGAAAGTGTAAGGGGGGAATAACGGAAACGTAAACGAAACCCGTAAGAAGCGAAACACGGAACGTAAAGGATACGTCAATTATTAATTAATTAAATGATTAATTTAATTTTGGCTATTAATTCAACTGTCAGTTACTTAAAGTAACATTTTTAATTATAATTTAATTTAAACAGGCACAATAAATTATAATTAAAAATTTTACTTCAAATTATTTTGTTAGTTGAATTAATAGCCAAAATTAAATTAATTGGAATTTATTAATCAAAGTAATTGCAAGATAACAAAATAAAATTAGCTCACCAAAATAAAATCTGCCCATATTTCTTTTGCATAATCAAGCGCTTGTTCACGCAAATCTATTATATGTGCAAATCTGCGAGGCGACCAATCGGTGATCGATCTTTCGTCCTCGAAACCTGTCGATGATGCATTTAAATGTACATTCATCGAATGATATATCTTGCTCCTCGAACTAATCCATTTATTCAATATCTCGATCGAATTGTCAACATTGTTGTCGCTGCGTATCCTGAAATGATTAACATAAAATCTTTGCATCTTTCTCTAGCAAACGAAAATGGATTGAAATGGATTCAGATTTTCAGAAATATTGATTCACGAATGTTAAAATGAATGCATTTCAATCCTGAATGCATTTTTATTTATTTATAGGAATTGCATGGAGCATATCTGTAGTATGCCTTTCAATCTAAAAATAATATTAGCTTTTTCTGTGCATCGTAAATACTGTTCAATTCAAAATTTTAAATAGAAAATGCAGTTTTTCAATCCAATTGCATCCAATTGCATCCAATTGAATCTAATTGAATCCAATTAAATCCAAAAAAAAAGTATTGGTCGAAATAAATATTAACAAATATAATAATATAAATAAAAATAGATAAATCTCTGAAAACCTGCAATGTGATGGAGAAATCTCCTAAAACTGGCGCGGTACACAAACGTCCAAACACATCCGGTATTATATATTCGCGCGTTTGCGAATCGACGTGTTCCGCATGCGCCACATCGATTGGCGAGCAATTTCAAATTGATAAATAAATTTGAAACCGTGATAGAACAAATAAAAATGTGACGACAATCAATGGAAGCGATTGTTTCGAAGTATTTCTAATTTTCTCGTATTCGGTCATACTTGAGATTTAATTCTAGTTGACGATTTTTTACAATCATAATATAAGACAATAAAATTCTCAATAAATAATGAGAATAAAATCTTGCATTATTTTAACATCTAAATTAGAGAACGCTGATCAATTTTTTAATTATAAGTACCTCAATACCCAAAACTATATTATGAATTTATAAGTGCTTTCACGAGTTTTACGATATCATTAATACCAAACAAAAAAGTGAGGTTATGTCACTTACCAAAAACTTATTCGTTTCTTTGGGTAATCTTGATTCTCTAACAAACTCAGAAAGTACGGCAACGTGTGTGCCTTATTTCTAACGAGGACACTAATCAGCACGGTCGGTTCTTTTGAGATTGTGTCGCACGTAACCAACCACGCGAAACCAATGAGAGAATAAATAATTAGATATCCTCGAAGGATCATCGTGATACAGATATAATATCGGTTTTAATCACACACGTGTCTTTTCGTGTTCGCCTATTAGAAAATTTAGATAGATGAATGTGAAGATTATGCGAAGAGACAACTCCTCTAACATTATCTTTCTATCTCATCATTCTCATTCTATTCTCACAAGTACGTAGGTGTGCGCAATCGATAAAACAGGAAATTGCAATGTTCATCAGTAGTGGCTGCGTTTCGTTAAATGTTTACTGCAGTATATATTGAAAATCTATGACGTAAACGTGAATTATAGATTTTCAGTACTTGCAGTGAATAACAACACAGCCAGTGCAATCAATCTTATAACATTTTTTATTCAATTTTTTTAAATATATGTATATGTATATAAACTATGTTGTAGATATGAATCCTCTACTTTCCTCTTCTCTATTTTTTCCTCATCTTTTTCCTCTTCCCGCCCCCTCCAAGTTTTGTACAAAAAATGTATCACAGAATTTAGACAAATTTGTATTTTACTATTATAAAATATACATTGATTGGCAAAATTTTCGTGTACTTTAGTCATATTTTTCTTATAATTTAATTCAACTTTTTACCAAAGAAACTTCTTCTTTTTTTGTTACTTCTTTTGCTTTATTTACTTCTTCTAATTTTACTTTTTTCTTGTATGCGTAACTAAGTTTGGCTTTGTCAAATTCTAGAAGCATTATACCCAAATCTCCGCTGTATCTATTCTTTGCAACCTGGATAAAACACAAAATAAAATAACTCATGTTGAAGATTAAAAAATATTATATCATCCAACAATTACAGATGTGTAATACATACCTGTAAATATTTCTTTCCTTTTATGTTAGTAAGTCTTTTATCTTGTATAATCAATATATTATCGGCTTCTTGACTTGCTTTGGCACTGCCAAAAATAGACAAAGCTGTCAATTCTTCATCTCGTTCTTTTCTTGGATGTATAACCAAAGTAACATGACAATTATATTTTGTAGCAAAATTTCTAAACTGTGCTATGATCTTGTCTTGTTTCCAAAATCTACGATACAACGCTGTATAAAAAAATTAATTTTTCAAAGACAGATAAAACACATTCGTCTCACCTATCGATCACTTCTTCTGATATACCCATCATAAATTGCATATTGTCAATTATCACATGAGCTATGTCATGTACATACGTTGCATGCATAACTGCCTGAAATAAAAAAGAGAAAAGTTATATACAACACTAAATTTTTCACTTATAGACTGTCTTATAGATAATGTCATACCTCCATAACAACTTTGATATTCTGCTGACCGTGGAAAGTCATAAAGTAAATTGGTAATTTGGTAAAAGCATCTGCATATGTATTAAATTTATCCAAGTTGTCTTCCAAAGGTACTTCCGCCATTTGCTGCAACATAGTTCTAGCTAACCGAGCATTTCTAATTTCAAAACTACCCCATAATGTATTGACACCTTGCATTGCTAAATCTAGCGAATATTCGCTCATAAATGTAGTTTTGCCACTGCCTAAACATCCATTGATATGTGTAAAAAATATAATTTTATAAGCAATATCCTCTGATGCAAATGATTTAGTTATCTCTTTAGTAATTAAACTGATCTGTCTTACCAGTTGGGCCAGTTAATATTGTAAACTCTCCTCTTCTGTGTCCTTTTAAAATTCGATTTAAGGCAGGATATCTTTTCCATTTTACACCTTGTACTCTATCTATATTTTGCAAATCACATAATACATCTTGTCTGAGGTCATCAAAAATAGTAATACTTTTATGCCAGATTGGTTGTGCATTTGCTAAAATATGTTTAAGGTCATAATCTCTGTCAGCAGCTAATTTTGGTCTAGGTTGTGTGTCAATTGGTCTCACAAAGTAACATCTCTTCTCATTTAATTTCTTAGCGAATTGCCTGGCTGTATACCAGCTAGGTTCGTCATTTCCAAACCATAAAATTAATTTTTTAAAATTTTCAAAATTTGGTAACAACTGCTGTGGCAAGTGTTGTAAATTGTACGGCAAGCAGATGATCACGTTTGCTGCCTTTCGAGATGCTAACGCTAATAAATCGAGTATTGTTGGCACAATCACTGCAGTTGTATCATTTTTACTACCTTTTTGCTTATAAAAAATAAATCCACTAACATTGGAAATAGGTACGGTTTGTTCTAATTCCGGTTTACAAGAAAGAGTTTTATAACCCACAACAGTACCGAAAGCAATTAATGGAAAATACAATAATGCTGGTACAGCTGCATATATACCATTTAATTGTAAAATGTCCTCTTGTGAAATTCTCTGTAATAATTTTTATTAATGTATAATATTTGGATATGTATATGTGTATAAACATTAAATCTATGTTAATTATCTTACTGGGAGAGAGAATATATTCAGAACTTCTTCATATAACTCTGATGACAAATCTGCAATTTGTTTATTAGATTTCACTATGTTATTCCATTTTGTAGCATAATCTTCTTGAACTTTTATAGCATTTCTCAAAGTTTCCAATTCTTTTTGCATATTATTTGCTTTGGTTGATTTTGTTAATAAAAATTTCTCCAATATATTCCATTCTCCTTTAGAACTGCATTTATCACATAAAAAATATCCTGTAATAAACAAATATATATTTGTATAAGATACAATTATTTTATCAATCTGTTTACGTACCTTCTATCAAATATGTTCTATACATTTTATTATTTTATATATCTTTTTTTTACCTGTTGTTTTATTAATATAAATATTTGCCTTTTTAGATTTTTCAGAATCACATATAGGACACTCAGTGATTAGACATGCATGTCCATCAATGGTATTAATATTCTTTTGCTTCAGTACTTGTTTTATGTGAACAAATGATATTCCAGGTACTGGATCATTTATAATGCCACTATCATTAGAATACAAACGACGATAAAACATCCAAAATCTATTATGTCTTTCTAGAGTTAAAGAACGCATCAATAATTTTAAAGACATTTTTCTTATCTAATTGGAGCATCATCAATATTGAAATTATAGATCTGGTAGCATTGAAATCACTTTGATCAGTAATGAAAGCTAATATCTCATCACTGAAGCTGTAAAGAATTTTATCTGTATTATTATTTTTATTTTATCTATATTATAATTGATATAGGCTGCTTTCTTTCAGGAAATGATGTCGACATAAACGTCGTTTTATATTTTTCTTTTCGTGAATAATACAGATAAAACAACATTCGTGTCGACTTGTTTTCTGCGAGAAAAGCAGTTATTATCATTTAATTCATAAACATTGCAACTATATAATTTATCCAAAATATTATTCAGCAAACAATTACAAGTTTCTCGTAAGAGTATGCCTGTTGTATACATCATTCGAATACATAAATTACATTTGAGACAAACAATAACTTTACAATTTTTGACAAATACTTAATATAATGCTCTCCTCCGATTTTCCGATAATTTTATACATTTTTGCACATTTACATATATAAAATATATTTAATAGAAGAAAAATCCTTAGAAAACTCAAGTTCCTTCAAGTTTTATATTTCCAAATTTTTTAATGTTTACATAAAAAGAATAAGGAAGGTAAATATAAATTTTGAAAAACAAACTACTATAATTTAAATTATATAAGAAAATAATTTGTTTTTAATTAATTAAAGCAAAAAATGTGTGGAGTGAGCAGAGAATTATCATTTAAAAAATTATTTTCTAATTTAATTCAAAAAACTTTAAAATTAAACAAAAGCGACAGTTAAACGATTTTTCTTTTCAGAATCTATATTCTACGCAATAAAATACTAATTTACATAATAACAAGAAAATCAAAGGAAAAAGCGTTATATTAAACATTTATCCGATTTTTTAAAATCGTATTATTATTGACAATATTAGATATATTATCAATATCACTGAAACAAATCTCTTAGATCTTTCAAGACGAATGATCTTTATTTACATTTTTTTTACATTTGTTTCATTGATGTTGATATTGTCGATCTGTGACAAAAAATGGAAAACCGGCGTATGCAGCACGTGATCACAAAATAAAGTCAGCACCAGAGGTGCGTTCCAAAACTTGACTCTGTCAACTCCGAGTATCCTTTATCTTTATTCAACATTTGATGACCAACAAAGATAAAATTAATATTCGAGTTGATAGAGTTGAATTTTGGAACGCAACCCAGGGTTGCCAGGTTTTTCATAGAGGCCTCCTAATCAGAATCTAGCATCGACATTTAGGCCGGTATTCATATGGCTTCTGTCTTCGACAAGATACTATTAAAGACCGACATATCCTTACGGATATTGGCGTCTTTGTGAATATTGAAGTAATTAAGAGTTAAAAATTAAAAACATTGTACTAATTTTATGATTTATTAGTTTAGTGAACATATTTATGCATTTAGAACTCAATAATACTCGATTTTTCTTTAAAATTGTGATTTCAGTGCTATCATCAAAGTTTGATTATCAACAGAGATGATAACTACAGAGAAAAAATTGTAATGTTTCTGCAATATATAAAATATTATAGCTTTACAAGTATATATATTTATTTATGAAACATTTATGTAATAAAAAATTATAAATTTAATAATGTATGAACCAAATATTTATGTTAATAATAGGAAATTTATATCAATTGTTGATAATGCGATTCGGTTCGTTAAATGGACAAAACTGTAAGTTGTCTTGTAACAAGATTTATTACAAGCGCTGACAGATTGATGGTTCGTCTCTATCTAACGGACCGAAATTCGTGGATATAGCGAAGAATACAACCAAGAAATTGTGGACATTACCGACCGCATCATGAACATTGGCTACGTAGTTCAATATCCACATTTTGTGGACATAGAGACGCTTCAAAGTAACAGCTAAATGGCCGCCAAAAGTCTATAGATTATCTATCTACATAGTTTGTGGTTGTATTCTCTCATAAAACATAACCTTTTACGCGTGTTGTGCACGTGTAATTTTATTTATTGTTTATCCTCCATTTAGTATTGATCAAATCACCGGTACGTACAAAGCAAAAATATTATTAAGCCAGCATTTCTGATTACTTGTTATTTAATTCAGATTGTTTAAATTATGAAGTAAAGTTTTTATGTTACTATTTTTCTTTTTATATGTATAGGTCACTTAATATGATATACAAAAGGAATTAAAGTCACATTTATCACATTAATCATCCGGAAATATTTCAGAAAAAAGTACATTATTTAATTATATATATTGCAATGACAAATCAGCGGCTTTCCTGTGGATTGGATTTGTGTTGTGCTGTAAATTTAAATGATTGTTTAATTTATGCGTCTGAATCAAGGTAAATTGTTATTACACGTTCTACATGTTTAAATATCATGTTTTTTACTTGTCTTTATTCATTGTATATTGCATGTATATTATTTTTGTTTATGATTTCAGATATGAATTTATTTGCGTCTCTTTGGTCCATCCTTTATTTAAAAGAGAATTTATTTCTGGACCTGCCAAAAATCGTCCAGGACCACTCACTAGGCCTGATTTAGTTTTAAACAGTTCAGGTATAAATGAAATATATATTTATAATATATATATACTTATATTTATTATATCAGTGGTCAGCATTAGACCATAGATAACTTTTAGCTATATTTTTATGTTGATGTTCTCTATCCTTATATCCTTGTTCTAGGAGCGGTGATACCAGGTCTGTTTTTTATTGCTACACTCTGAACCAATGCAATAAGTTGAAGTGAAACAAACGTATATTCCATAATAAACATATGTTTTATTTATTATCCTGTATGTATCAGTTTAGAAAGTGTAGCAATAAAAAATAGATTTATCATATGATAGAATTATAGCTTTTGCTTATATTTTTTTGTTATAACCACTTCTGAGATAAAGTACCATAGATTTTATTGTTAGTTAATTTTCAAGATATGAATGGCAAATAAGGGATAATGGATACATTATCTGACATAAAAATCTAACCAAAAGTTGTATCTAATGCTGATTACTGTATTATATTAATACTTTTAATACAAATGAGTTAATAAAATCAAATTTAAATAGTATCAATAATATTACATTGCAGATTGGAATAATAGAATAATTGCGAAGTTTTCATCACTTATCAATGTTGACTCGACCAATCCAATTATTAGAAAAAATAGCGAAGAGACTTTGAATCAGGAATTAAGCTTAGCTAGCCATTTTGGTTTATCAGGAGTGACTTTAAAATTAAAATATGGGATAAATAAAAATGTGAATCTTGCAAGAATCATTTCTGATAAAATATCAAACAACAATTGTACTTTCCAGGTAGCACATGTATATACATATATGCATACACAATAAATTATAATTTATAGTTTTAATTTTTTAATTAGAAGATATGTGTAATTAGTACTCAATATACTTTTAGAAATAAATATTTTGAAACAAGGACAATGTCATTTATGTTAAACAACAAGGAAATATAATTTAATAAAATCTATAAACTGTAGAATTAAATAAATTAATACAGTTTTTTAAATTATAAAGACATATTAATTATTATAGGTATGGATACAAGTTCCTATGGAGAATCCAATTAGACAAACCTATTCTTATAGAACAGAAGATTATCCGGAAGACGAGAATCCATGGGAATGGTGGAATTCTTTTAGAGTAATATGTGATTATAATAAAAAATTAGGAGTTTCATTAATTGTCAGTCATGACTTGCCTGAAGAAGAAGAGGTAGCTTATAAATTAAATTTACAAATTAAAATTGTGCAATATGAATGCAATATGTAAAAACCAATTTAAATTTAAAAGATTGATAGGTGGCTTGGAGAACCAGTGAGATGTTTAATTTTGCCAACAACGTTATTTCTAACTAATAAAAAGGGATATCCAGTACTAAGTAAAGCACATCAAGCATTAGTAAGAAGATTTGCTATGCAAGAAGTACAATTTATTTTAACAGGCGCATCACGTTATCAAAGTGTTAGTTATTATCATAACTATCTTGATTATCTATGGAAGGTAAAACTAAAGAAGTTTTTTAAAGATAAATACTTAATTTTGTAGACTATACAAAATAATGTCATTTTTTTTAAGGGATGTCAAAATGATGGAACAGTGGAAAAATTTGCTCGAGGATATGAGGACTATCTGCAATGTCCATTACAGCCTCTAATGGATAATCTCGAATCACAAACTTATGAAATATTTGAGAAGGATCCCGTAAAATATCGAGAATATCAAAATGCTATATATGAAGCTATAAACGCAATAGTATACAAAATGCAAGAGGAAAGAACGATGTAAGTCGAATCATATTAATAAAGATAATAACCATAGAAAAATGTATAACAAAATTATAAATTTTTAGAATCATTATGGTAGTTGGTGCTGGAAGAGGACCGCTTGTAACCGCATCTTTAAATGCCGCGAAAATGGCATATCGAGAAGTAAAGGTATATGCAGTGGAGAAGAATCCTAATGCCATAATAACGTAAGACCATTTTAAAATAATTGGATTGGATAAAAAATCTTTTTGCTTTTAAAAGTATATTTTTAAATAGATCTTTATTAAATGTAATGTAATTAGATATTTGATAAGAAGAAAAGTAATAAAGCTATCTAAAAATAGTTAAAGTGAAAGAATCAATATTTTGTTTAATAAAGAACAATTTTATATATCCTTTTTTTTATTTATTTATTTATTTAAAAATAGACTAAACTAGAGAAGATTTTTTATCCAATAATTTCAAGTTTTAAATAATCACATGTGTTCATTATTTCATTATCTATGTTTACAGCTTACAGGCCCTTCAAAGAGATATGTGGAAGGAAAAAGTTACAGTGATATCATGCGACATGAGGGAATGGAATCCTCCGGAAAAAGCTGATATAATTGTTTCTGAATTACTCGGATCCTTTGGCGATAACGAATTGTCGCCAGAATGTCTAGATAATGTCCTTAAATTCTTAAGAGGTTTGCATTGCATGACATTACGTAAATGATGTTAATCTTGCATTAATAGTATGAATTTTTTCTTTAACTACTTGTTTGAAATTTTTATTAGATGACGGAATTAACATACCACAATCATACACTTCATACATAGCTCCTATGCAATCCTCTAAATTGTACAATGAAGTGAGACAACTTAGAGATAAGGACAAACATCCGTTAGCTCATTTTGAAACTCTATACGTAGTACATCTTCAAAATAAATACGATATAGCAAATCCGAAACCACTTTTTACATTCAAACATCCAAATACAGGTTTGTACAAAATATCCAACTTTTTATATTTTAATTATTTTAATTTCTTTACATGTTTGTATTTTTTTAGATGCTCTTGCTGACAATTCAAGATATGAAATCAAGACTTTTCAAGTAGAACAGAATTGTGTATTACATGGATTTTCAGGATACTTCACAGCAGTTTTATATGAAAACATCACATTAAGCATAGAACCTAGCACATACAGCTCAGATATGTTTAGTTGGTTCCCAATCTTTTTTCCACTTAAGGTATATTTGAAATAACTTTTATTCTTTAAAGTATACTTGCAAAATATAAGTTTTGTGGTAGATAAAAAAAATATTTATCGATACACAGGAACCAGTACAATTAAAGGCAGGAGATGAAATAGTGGTTCATTTCTGGCGCAGATGTGGTTCTAAGAAAGTATGGTATGAATGGTGTCTTAGTAAACCCATACCAGTCTCAATCCACAATACAACTGGACGTTCTTCCGTTATCGGATTATAACGATTATTACTTGTCAATTTAACAATGTTCCAATATACGATATATATATCAGATTATTAAATATTAACTATTAGATTTAATTAAATTTTCTGACAAATCTGAACAGTATTACATATTCGAATATTTTAGCATTAGTTTTATTTCAAATTTGTCAAATTGCTAAACTAATATTAATAAACTATATTAATATACTAAATTAGATTTTAATTTGACATAAATTTGATGTAATATAGGAACCGAGACACTGTGACACGTGTCTCCAGATATGAATCTTTTTATTTACATATGAATCATAGCAAATATTTCTGAGATAATTATTTATTTCAAAATATTATTCAACTGTTTATTCCACTTACGCTTCAAAGAGATACTGTACTCAAATATCCCTATATTTCCTTCTATTTTTTATAAAAAATAGAAGGAAATGCATTCGTATATATAAAAGATATGATACGTGAATATTTTCTTCATTGCAAACGATTTTTTATGTATTATAACTACAAATCTTAATATGACGTCGATATCTGAGGCCACTGATATTCAGTAAGGTCACTGATACTGTAGAATTTTGATAACATGTGTTACGAAATGTTCTCAAAGCGTGCTATTACTATTAAACTCACGTGCTTCGAAAAATATTGTCTAAATTCTACATCTTGTAAGATTGAGCTTAACCCAAATGTTCATATAACAATAATCTTGAATAAGAATTTTATAAAATTTAATAATTTTATAAAATTCTATAGAATTACATATATTTCATCTAATTCTACATATTTACACTTTATAATGAATTTTTACTTATTGACAAACACTTCCAATCTTTTATATGAACACTTATAATTGTAACAAAAGAAATTATAATTCTATCAAACTATATATTATGTACGTAAATCAAGCTGTTTTACTTGATTTTGCGAGAACTTTTATTATCTCATTTCTGATGTTACATCTCAGGTGGTAATAGTGATAAGTGAACAATCTTAAAAATGAAACGTTCTTGCGTAATTTTTTTATTTTGGTAATCTACAATAATTAGATCTTTTTAAATCATAAAATAAAAGTTTTGTCACGGGCAGGTTTTGAAAAAAAAACCCTTTTGTTTTTATTATAGCCTTATATATTTCTGTTAATTAATTTTTCAAGTGTATTTTTAATATTTTTCTTAAACACTCTTTGAAGATTCCGTCCGTGGTATAATTTGTGGACCCACTTTTATTATTCATCACCCAGGAAAATATTTAATGAAAAATTATTGATACAAACATGAAGGGCTCTAATTAATAACAATTATGATGAAATATGTTTATAGGGTAAGAAGACGAATTTCAATTGTAATTTAATATAGATGTCTTTAGAATATATAAGATAAGTTCAGGCAAGTCCTGCGGTTGGCTCTTCATTACCCTGTAAATTTATTTCATTATAATTTAATAAAAATAGTTTACGTTTTTCAAGCACATATCAAATCAAAACAAATACTTTTGTTACTTTATAACTACGAAGGATTAAAGCGCTCACTTATTCATAATAACGATATAATTAAAAAGTTCTCTTTTTTTTTAATTGTTTGCAGAAAAGAAACGTAAAGAAAATTTAAAAAGATATTTTATTCCTCTGTAATTATTACATCAAAATTACATTTAAAAATTAACATTACAAAATTTTAATGATTTTAGACATTCAAACTTATTTTCTGGAAAACTTTATTTTTTGTGGCAAATGAGCGAAATTATGTCTCGAAATAAAAAAATTACGCAAGAATTAATTTTATTTTTGAGGATATTCAGAAATCTTTTATGAATAGTAATGCATATAAATAATAAAAGAGAATTATATAACAATAAACATGATAATATTTTTGGTCATTATGTAATGAAATGAAAGCTATTTTAATATCGTTTGAATATAATTATGCAAGATGCAATCAATTTGATCTCTTTTTTTTTTTTAATATACATTTAGAATAATGTAGTCTAATATACAAAGTTTAGCTGCAAATTGTAATGCAACAATTGCTTTTATTTTATCAAAATTTCAACATGTGATTAGTGTTATGTATGTTTATTTTTTGTAAATCAAAAGATTGTACGAAATTGTCTTTATATTATTTAATCATGTGTAATCGGAGCAAATTATATAGTATTAAATTTTGAATCTATCTAATTTACAATCTGGAGATATCATTCTTGTAATTTAATAAATAACATTTACACGACATTCGCTGTTGACTCTGATTCTGATTGTGATAACAGAAATATGAAAGTAATACATAAAACTAACTCGCGGTTGCTCAAGACTGAAAGTCACATGCTGTTTGTGTTGCAATTGTACTCGCGATTGTTCTTGTGCAATCAGCATTTATATATTTCGAGTAGAGAAAAGCGGAGAGTCAAAATTAAAAAAAATTGTTTTTGATACTTTCGACGAGATTGCCGAACGTGTTGTCCTATATCTGTGCTTGTTCATGTTCACTCGTTCGAATATTTAGTTAATTTCCGAGATGAGACAAGAGAGGAACCGATAATGATAGAAAAGTGCTGACGCTGGCTTCTAATCTTGTCTTTCATTATTCGATCGAGAATCATCAATCGACTCCGTTTTGCTCTCGCTGCCGGTTGCGTTCTCGCGTGCGGCCTTATCTTCATAAAGTGAAAAAAAAAAAAAAGAGGTTAGGACAGTTCGTGTGCGTTCTGCACGGCGATCGCGACGGCGAAGGAAAAATGGCAAGATTGATCGCCCAGATTAGCAGGTGCGCGATAAAAACCGTCTCGCACGATTTGCTCCATACAGCTGCCAAGTCGAAGATAGCCCTTGCCGTAGTGCGATCCATAACCACAACTCAGTACTTGAGAGATGGTAAGTGAGAATGAGCTACTCGCTGGCTTTGGCTTTTTAAAAAGCATCAGTATTTGCTAAAACTATTTGTAGTACAAAGAAACTGAGTACTGTCTATTGTTTCCTTCGCTTCTCGTCTTGTTTATAAATATAATTATTAATATTAATCAACGCTCGTGAGGAATTCATTTGGTCTGTAAACACGTTCGCGCGCGCGCGCGTTTGCATAACTGAATGATTGTGTATGATATGATATGTGTATAAATTGTGTGTGTGATATTACATAAATCATGTAAAAATAATTTTATATATACATATATGTG